TCAACAACAACAAGGCGGATATTAATTTTCTTAGAAACAAAAAAAAACCCCACTGAAGTCGTTGTACTTATAAAGGATCATTTGAAATAAGTGTACAAGAACTGTTTTCAGCACCATGGACAGCTTCCTTTCTATCAGACCCTCTTTAACACTTCACCTGTTGCTCACTCATCTCGGCCTGTGTGAATCTCTCTGTGCATTCAGTCTGTACCCACACCTGCAAACACAGCTCGGATGTCACTTTTATCTCCACTGCCAGAGTTTGAAATCACTCAATATGGGAGTCTTTGGTTTGCAGTGGTCTTATTCCCTTCTTACTCTGCATCCTTAATAGTCAACTTGATTATTATTAAAAAGAGAAAGATTAAATGTTTTACCTTTGTTTATACCTTTCCTGCTATCAAGAAACAGTAACGCGTGTTTAAAGATTACCTGACTATGCAAATGCTGGGGCAGCATAATTACTATCAGAAATGCTATGGCAACAGAATTGACTGATCACTGCAATGGTTTGGCACTGACGTAAAACCACTTAATTTTGTGACAGTCTTGCTCAAATAATCAGTGAAACCAACAATACAATGCAGGACAGCATGAGGGAAACTGTACTGTTAGGTCAAATTTCTTTAATATTTACCTGCAAGTCATTGCTATTCAGAATATGATTATTATTGATTAATTTTAAAATATCATAAACGTTAGCCTTGATATTATTTAATCATTTCCAGGGCAACAGTAATTCATATTCCACATCATTGCACAACAAGTTTGTTTATTCCAAACTTTGTAGTGCTGTCCTGCCATCCACTATGTCCCTTCACATTTCTTGTTGGAGATGAGATATTGTAGATTTAAAAACTAGAACTGGGAATATATGGCACCAAATATCATAATACCTGTATGATGTGAAAGGCTTGATTCTTATGCAACAAGCTATCATATAGCTGCATCCACATTCCCTTGCGTACTTCATGTGAAAATAGTGGAGTCTACACTGATAATTCTACTAAACATTTGCATATATAGATATATAATACTGATATAACAACAACCTAAATGAGACAGGACACTATAGTTTAGAAAGGTGATACTTTTTTTCAAATATATATATATTTTTTAAGCAATCTGTCTTACCTCTTCAGATGTTCTCCTCCTATCAGGCAGCATCAGTGTATTAGCATGGCTGCCAGGTACTATAGTAGATCCTAT